GAGAAAAAGTATGTGGAGTCGAACATATATGTTTATATTCGTCGCACATTGTAATTTAGTGAACAAATATTTATTTCTACTAAGTCTTTTTATGCATCCATGCTACTAGTTTACTTATAGTTTTTAGAATGGTAAAGGTATTTAAGCGCGTTTAATTACTGTGGTAGACCAATAGTTGATTCGTTCTAGGAATAAATAGTTTATTTATATAATCAGTAGAGTGAAACAGTCTGTACAGAGAGCGTTTGAAACTCATAACCGCATTGCAGTTCTTGACTTCTAGGGGCAGATTGTTCCATATTTTAGAATACATGACTGTGAAGAAGTTTTCGCGGAGTGTTGGCTTAAAGGCTTTTATCGTTACTGTGCAACTTTGGTTACGCAGATCGTAAGAGCCTTCTTGCGCGAATTGTATGTCCTTACTGTCTGAGAATGATATTTTGTGTAGGACCTTATAGAAGAATACTAGGTTTATAATTAGTCGTCTTGTCCAGAGTGGGTCAAGTTGTAGAATCATGCACCGTGAGATGTAGTCTTTCTTACATTCGTAGCCAAGTAGTTTTGAGGTAAAATATCGTTGGATACTTTCTATTCTTAGCTTTTCACGTGTGTGAGTGCTGCTAATAATAAATGGAGATTATTCCGGTAGTGACCTCACACAGTTTTTGTACAGAATGAGCTTTGCTTCATTGTCGTGAAAGTTCCTGAGTATGCATCCTAAGAGCATCCTCGACTTTTGAGTCTGTGATGCCACTTGCTCAGAAAATGTTAGGTTACTCGAATACCTCAGACCTAGGTCAACGACACTTTGGAGTCTGGTTAGGTTAGTCGATTGAAGCGTTAACTTCATGTCGATTGAGGGTGCACCGAAGCAGATCCAGCCACATTTTGTAAGGTTAAACTGTAGATTCCATAGAGACGACCAAGCAGTCACTTTATCTAGTTCTTTTTGTACAACATTCTGGAAGTACCCTAGGTCATCAGATTGGAGTGTGTAAGCTACTTTTAGGTCATCTGCAAAGATGAATGGTTTCCCATGAGAGAAGCAAGCGCAAATGTTGTTAATATATAGAGTAAATAGGAGGGGTCCAATGGCACTAACTTGTACTACACCAGAGGTGATTGGGCTAGGTTTCGAAGATATAGATCCGAGTTTAACTATTTGGGACCTATTGCTAAGGAATGATTTAAGCCATCCTAATAGTGGGTCACGTATTCCTAAGGATTTCAGCTTATGCATTAGTAGTAAATGGTCGACACAGTCAAATGCCTTTGTGATGTCAAAGTAGATGACAAGTACTAGTTGTCGTCTGTCACGACTGCTGGTCACAAAGTTAAAGAAGTCTAAGTGGCATGTTAAACAAGATCTGGATTTCAGGAATCCATGTTGGTTCGGACTTATAATGTTGCAGCTAAGCATATGCCTGACTAGGTTATCTTTAACTAGTCTCTCCATAATTCTGGATGCTATAGGTGTGATATTGATCGGCCTGTAGTTACTGACTTCTGTTTTCGAGCCAGATTTGTGCTAAGGCATAATAAATGTTGTTTTCCACATATCAGAGTAGCTTTGGGTTTCTAGGGACATTGTGAATATTTTAAGCAGTAGTAAGGGAATGTCGGGGCCACCAGATTTATAAAAATAGGATGATATGCCGTCAGTACCAAAACCTTTTGAGCATTTCAGGGTTCTCATAGTTTGTTTAATGTTAGTATAAGTAAATCCAACAGTACTAATTAGGTTTGGTGTGTGTGGAGATGGAGTTTGTGCCACATTAGTAGCAGGGTGTATATTGAGTAACTGGACTGTGGGCTTAAGGTAGTTACCTGCAAAAGTTGAGTTAAATAATTCACACATGTCTGCAGAATTAGTGCATGAGGAGGGAAATGCTGTGATTTTCGCGATTCATTCGTTTCTCTAAGATTTCTGTGAGTACATACACTCTAGCAGGACTGGCTACTGCGATGCCTTCTTCGTTTCTCATACGGAAATCTCGAGCTTGTGAGATGGATCCAAGGGTGTTAAGTATTAAACCTAGTGTGCCAAAGTCGTGGTGTATGCAGTAGCTTGTTGAGAGTCTCTTCAGTTTCGTACGATCCTTTGGTTTTATGAATGACTTCCTATGTGGGGAAAGCTTAAGTGTTTGGAGTGGAATGACAGCATCTAAGCATGTGTTCGAGTTATGGTAGAAGATGCTCAGAGCTCTCGAGAAGTCATCAGTAGTGAGGTATTCGCTCCATTCGGAGGATCTTAGCACTGATTCTACTAAGGTCCAGTTTGCCTTACTATAGTTCCTATATATTGCTTGTTGTGAAGTGGAGGTATGAGCTGCATTGCTATTCAGTGGAAGTGGCAGAGCACACATCACCGTTTTGTGGTCACTACCTGAAAACTTAGAACCCACTAAGATTGAGAGGGGGCTTATATCGTGACAGAATATTAAGTCTAGTACATTGTCACCTCTTGTAGGGATAGTGGCACTTTGTTTCCAGCCGAAGATGTCCAGTGTCCCTAAGAGCTTGTCGTATTTAGTTGGCCCTTTTAGTCAGTCCCAGTTGATTTCGGGTAGGTTGAAGTCTCCACATATGATCTTATGCTCGTACGGAAGAGCGGATACTTGCTCCAGTACATTTATAAGTTGTGTCTCGTAATCACTAAAGGTGCCAGGTGCTCTGTAGATACATCCTATTAGTAGTGTAGCACTTTTGAAGTGTACGTTGACCCATAGGGTGTCGTACATGTCATTGAGTTCCCTATTTTCTGGCTGTAATACAGTGTGTTCAGGAAGTACACTGGGAAGCCTCCTTCTTTACCACTCTTCCTATCACAGCGAAAGTTTATGTACCCATCGATGCTTATCTCTTCGTCTGGTATATTGGAGTGACACCAGGACTCGGTAATAATAATTATTGGGGGTTTGTATACCAGCGTGTGTGCCCTGAGCATCGGTAGTTTGTTAGGGATAGATCTAACATTAATAAGTATTAAGTAGAGTTGAGATTTGAAGTAGTGTTTGAGGTGTTTAAGCTCGTCAATAAAGTCCAAGTGTGGATCGGCATCCACTGTTTCCGCGTGGCATAATAACCCTGTGTTGCAACTAGTTTCGGTGCCATGTTCACCTATGTCTGTCGAGTTACTATCCATTTTTTTAGTGAGTAATGGGTTTGAATATTAGATAAACTATACGATGACGTGGTTCTAGGCTTCGGTAGGATGGAGACTTGGGTCGGAGTTTGATTCGGCCTATGTTTGTACAGTCTTTGGGTGTGATTATTGGTTCTGTGTGTACTAGCCCATGTCTGTTTTCTTCCCGATAGGGGGCCAACATTAGTGGTACGGGTTCAGAAGGCTTAACATCCCCACCAGCTGTTTGGTTAGCGCTGACAGGGATGTGTTGGATAAAAAATCTTTGGTACCTTGTGATGCCCATGACTTGTTAATCTGCCTATTGTGTGGGGACATTCCTGGAGACCTTACATGGGTGTCGTTATATGCATAGCTGCACTGTGGTTTGTTTCCCAGAAGACTTGTTCCGTATAATCTGCCATAGTTTGTGTGTCATGCTTTGTAAACCCTGAGTACCTGGTGGCTGAGCTCCGAGTGTTATCACTTGCGTGATAGCGTCACTACACCAGCTACCAGTGTGACTTGGCACAGTATGCGAGTAGGTTGTGTCGTTTTTGTCCTTGGACTCTATGTCCTTATTTTTGTTTTTAGTTTGGTTGCTAGCATGGTTTTGAACATTATTTACCTTAAAGCGTGAGTTGTTCTTGGGAGTCTGAATATGTTGGGGATCCTTCGCAACAAGTGGCGTATTTCTGCATGTTTTGTTACCGAGTTCTATTTGCGTTGTCACGTTTCGGTTAGGAGAGGATGTTGTCAGCTTACAAGAGGGATTGATTACCATCTTATGGCTGTCCATAGACATATCTAGATCCACCGTAGAGGGAGGGGAGGTTACTTTAGGAGTAAGACTATAGCTCACAAGTCTTTCGTTTGGTTTCGTCATCTGTGGAGCTATTTTTGTGAGATTAGAGAGGGGGGAGGCTATGAGTTCTACCGTGTTGGCAGTGTGTATATCTATTTTAGTGGTTTGCGGTGTCCTGCCATTTGGTTTATTAAGGCGAATGTAAGCACGCCTTTCAATCAATGTCTCATCTGCTACAACTCTTATCTGTTTGTAGCTTATGTCCTGTAATAGGATACGTTGTGTGTCGGTGAAATTTTTATCCTCTGTCAGAGTTTCAAACTGAAGGCGTATAGGACAGCAGTGGTCGTGCTGACTCTTCTTCAGTCTGTGACATTTTGTTTGGGAATTAGGCATTTTAGCTGCCCTAAGCAAGGTGCTTTGAACCTTTTTCAACCCGTCACTATCTGGTATATTACAGACAATCACACTTAGTTTAGTATCAAGTCTTTTGATAACCTCTGTTGTGATGACGTTTATCAAGGTGTCTACCTTAGTTATCGATTTTGTGTCAAGTTCGCCAGGGTTTAAGATCCTATTCAAGATGTTCATATGTGCAAGTTCGCAGGCTTGTGATTTTATATCACTGATCTGTGTTGGTAGTTCAGATATATTGGCCAAATTTTCCGAAAATCCTGCATTCAAAACCTTACTGCACCTTATATCCCACATCTCAGTCTTCAGCTCTTCCACAGACAGCCTTAGTCGTTCTATTTCTGAAGTATGTGTTGAAGCTGGACTTGGTATCTGTAGTTTTGTGACACGTACATTAGGTGAAGTGAAGGGGTTTGTATCGGGTGCTGAGTTTGTAGAGGCGATGCTACTACTGGTTGTCAGCATATTTTCACCTTCAGTTTCAGCTACAGTAGATGGTAGTGAACCGGCAGCTCGACGCTTGCGGCGTATTGGCAAGCTGTGCACCTCACTTCCATACTTCGTGGAAGTTGTGCTGCTCGTTGTTGCGAGCATATATGTACTATCAGTCATCACGTTAACAGGTGTCTGAGTTCGTGGCTTTTTTGTATAACTAACCATAACTAATTAGTGAAAGAGTTATTGGTTACAATTGTGGAACTGGAGAAACACTTGTGCGAGTCTCACAGTAAAAATGGAAGTATATAGCGATCAAGCTAAAATATAACGCAAGCGTTGAACGTACCGCGTTAGTGATCAACAGTTAGTAGTCCCACAGTCTTGCTATCACTTCGTCGTAGGCACATGACCTTCAAATATGCAAAATATCGGGTCAACCACGCGACAGCTTTCGCTAATTTGTGCCAAGAGGAATAATATTCAAAGAGTGGGTGTAAGCCGGAATATCCTATTTGTTAATAATTCACCTTGGCATTTACGTTTAACTCTATAGCCTCCTTACATATGGGTGTTTCCTCCTCCTTACTCGGCCATACACAGCCTGCTTGTCTCAAGAACTCAGGACCACTCCACCACTTGCTTTTAATTACATTTATATCGGTAGCACTTCTTGATGCTATATCGGCAAGATTTTCTTTAGGGAGTGCATACCTCCACTCCTCGACGCTCGTAGCTTCACGAATTCGAGACAATCGATTCGCTACAAAACCAGCATATCTAGCTGACTCATTTCGTATGTAACAGATCCCTGTCATGGAGTCTGTCCAAAACGTTAATTGACAGGTGGGACAATTCAGTTCCGTACTCACTGTCGTAAATAGTTGAACAGCCAACAAAGCTGCCGTAAGCTCCAGCCTCGGGATTGAAACAACCTTTCCGGGTGCAAGTCTGCAATTCCCGATCACGGGGCGAACATCTTTATTATCTCTAAAAGCAGTTCTAACGTACACTGCAGCTCCGTAACCAACTTCAGAGGCTTCAGAGAATACGTAAAAACAATCTTATAATACCCTGATTGCCTCAGAGGACGCGCGATGGGATAATGTCCTAATGAACGTAAGTTATTGACCCACTTCTCCCAATTTTCAGCAATTCTTTCACTCGATGGATTATCCCACTGTAACTCCTTTTTACGTGTCTCCGGAAATAGTTTTTGTGCAGGAAGCAAATAAGGCGCTACTAAACAAAGTGGATCGAAAACCGAGGACAATACGGATAATATACCTCTTCTGGTGACCGGCTTATCAATGTTTCCTACGCTAAATTCAAAGGTATCCGAGTTGATAATCCACTGAGAACCTGAAGTGCCTTCTATGGGTAGAGTATCAATGGATAGACCTCACAGCGGGCGTTCTATCTTCTGGACTTATATGCTTCAAGACTTTCAAGCTGTTTGAGACCCGCTTTGTCGAACGAAACCCAGCCTTGGCTAGTACATTGCTAAAAGTCTGCAAAGCTGTTCGCAGACTCAATATCGTCAAACGACGCTAAGCAGTCATCTACATAGAAACAACGGCCAACGACATCTAGTAATTCAGGGGGATCAAACGTGGACACTGCTTTGCGTAGAGCGAAATTAGCACAAAACGGAGATGATGTAGCCTCAAACGGGTGGACGGTCATCCTATATTCTGACACTCTGCTGTGAGGGTCACCGTCGAACCACAATAGCCTCAAATGGTCTCTATCACGCTCTCGTTCTTTTACTTGCAAAAACACCTCTATGCAGCAATGGCAACCGGAGACATTCTGAATCTCAGCAGCAATCCTACTAATGATCCCACGCAGTCTGGGTCACTACGCAAACTTTCATTCATGGAAACACCTTCGTGTTTCGCAGAGCAATCAAAGACTACATGAAGTTTGCGGGGTTTCTTTGGGTTAAAGACCGGGTGATGAGGTAGGTACCACTTCCCTGGTTCATTCTGGTTGACCAGTCTCTCCACAAAACCCTTTGTAATATGCTTCTCAATGAATTCTTTATACTTGGTCCACAGATCTGAATTCACCAGAAATTTCTTTCTTAAACTCATAAGTCTCTTCACAGCCACTTCTCTGTTACAAGCCGTCTGTTTATCCTTAGACCGCTACGGTAATCGCACGATGACGGTGAGTTCGAAATTGGTGACATTTTTGCGCGTGTCTTCTCTGATATTCATTTACTGCTTATCGTCGTATAATACTTGAAATTATGGTCCAAATCTCCAAACAACGTGTTCGTAGAAACACAATTATTTTAGATAGTGGCTCAAATTCGGTTATAACTGCATTTCTGCCCTGTAATAGAGTACCAGCTACCAGCTCACAAAATGGCTTGAATGCAGTTCTCACTCCTGTGATGCGGGCGAAAGATTTTCCGTTGAAGAACTCTGAGTTCTGTGAAGTAAACCTCCTTGTGAAAGGTATCCAGAGGCAAGCAGGTGAACTTGAGGAATAATTAGGTCAGTTTGATAGCATGTCACTGCCAATCTCAAATATCATGGAGAGCCGTTCTGATATTGGCCAGGTTAAGTCTCTACTCGATGTAACTCAAAAAAAGCTTGCATATTTAGACCCAATGGCCTGCCTGTCAAAAAATATCCTGAAAAGTCTCCAGACAACCTAAATAAAGCTGGAAATCTGATTGACTGCTTGGCTGCGGAGGTGATGAAGCGTATAACCCCTTCTTACCAGACTACAGTTTACAACATCCTACATTCAGTGCCTCTGAAGACTATAAAAAACAAAATCCTCGATTGTTGTGGCATGGCTAGTGTTCCATGTGAATGCAAAAGACTTCGTAAAACGCCTAATCATCCCATCATTCTCAGGTTCAGTAATTCCCTCGATGCTAGTAAGTTTACTAAATGTCGGGATCATTTGAGACTGAATAGCAGTCATAAATCTGTAACCATAGCTCAGGATAAAACGCCGTGTTAGCTCAGAATAATGCGTAGTGATAACCTGGTCAACTTCTCTGGCTTAAATTTACCAAAAAAGAATCGTGTACAGCAACAGTCACCTGGTGCTGGCAGTAGCACTCATCAATCTACACAACAACCACGCTTGCCAACGGAACTAGGAACTGATTTAGATACCAATACCCCTGTGAATAAAGCCTCAGCAAAAGATTTTAAAACAGCGAGAAATGCTACAAGTTGTTCTAAGATGTAGTAACTTCACCACGATGAACAAATATCGCAGGAATGAGACTAATGATGAGGAGAGTAACAGAGTAAAAACCCTAAATTTCTATGACAACAACCTCTGGAAAAAAAGGCATACCTGGAGAGTTTCAGCATAGTACAGTAGTCACCATAGAATGGTACTCTGCTCTCTGCCCTTCTCACCACTAAATACAGGAAACAAACAAGATTCACGGAGCATGATATGTCTTAGTTACAAACATACAGACTGGGGATAAGTCCAAGAACTCATCGGACTCTGTCAGTGGGATGACTATTTTACCACTGACTCCCTGGAGGCTGTAGTATCCCTATTTTACAGGGATGTTACCCTTTGTCTAGATACTGTTGCTCCTAAGAAAAAAATAGCTGAATACATTCCAAATGCATACCTCAATAAGTTAAGGAAAATGATGAAACAGCACTATTCCACTAAGGACATATCACTACTGCACTCAACGCACGAGTCTCTTGATTTCAATGCCCATCACTGAACCTTTGCTTGGGGTATGCTAAGGGAAAATTCGGCCGAAATCAACTGCAATCTATTCGAAATACGGGACTGACTGAGAATGTTGGAGACGACACTAGGTGGGGCCCTAGCGGAAAGTCATCAAAAGTAAACTACATCCTAACTAGTGACCAGCTACTCGTCGAAAAGGTTGAGATCATGACTCCTCTAGGAAGTAGTGACCGTAGAGTCATAGGTTTCGATCTCGTTCTCCGTGAGCATTTGCAGTGGGACGCTACGCGACCATGTCTGTGTTATAGCAAGGCTGACTATGCTGAAATGCTGAGGCTCTTGTCCGACGCAGACTGGCCCACAGCATGGGATGAGCCATCTGTGGGTGAACACTGGGAAGTGGTAAAAAAGATTATTCATACAGTATTCTCGGATACCGTCCCTTTAGTCATAGTCACAGTCCAAAAGAAAGTCATCATGGTTGAAGAGAGGCACGCAACGTATTCTGTAAGCAAAGCGGAAGGCTTGATTTATGTGGCATGTATCATGTAAATTTACGTTTATATGAAAATATACATTATTATTATTATAAGTCAGATCGACGATGACGCATACCTTGAACTCAGAAACCGGTGCAACGCGAGAGTCAGGAGGGACGGGAGGTCATTCCCGGTTAACCTTGCTAACAAACTCCTAGCAAACCCCAAAAACTTGTTCCAATTCACGTCGGAAAGAAAACCAACCAACCAGGGGGCATGCGCCTTAGTAGGCCCAAATGGTCAATATCTCACTTGTCTGGAGATGGCTGAACTATTCAGTTTAGCCTTCGCCAAACAGCTAGGCAGCAATATGGGTATTACCGTTACGGACCAAAATGGTGGCACTACTATTTCATAAGAGGAAGACCTAGTGGCTAGTCCCCAAATTAACCCGGCAAAAGTACTAAGGAAGCTACAGCGGCTCATACCTGGGAAGTCCCCAGGTTGTGATGACATCAGGCCATCTGTTCTGAAACAGTGCAACAAAGCTCTCTGTAGGCCCTTATGTGACATGTTCCAACACTCAATGGATTCGGAGAAACTGCCAAGGGAGTGGAAAAGAACCATCCTTTCTCCAATCTTCAAGTGTGAGGATAGGCAAAATGCCACCAGTTATAGACCAGTACCTCTACTCCCAGTGGTATCAAAAGTAATGGAAAGTGTTATTGACGATCACATCAGGGAATATCTCGATAGGTCTAATGTACTCCATGAAGCCCAACACGGTTTCAGGTAAGGCAGATCCTGTGTTACTAACCTACTATCAGCTTGGGACGATTGGACATCATGCTGGGATATGAATGTTCCAGTCCATGTGGTCTTTCTAGACTATGAGAAGCCATTTGACACCGTTCACCACGACCTTCTCCTACACAAAATAAGTCAGGCGAGTACAGATAAGCCACTTCTGTCATGGTTAAAGGACTACCTAGCTGAAAGGCAATTTCGCACTAAGGTCAATCGAGTCCAATCATCTTGGCACAGCCCGTCACCAGG